TCCCAATATTAATGGGCTTCAGCGGTAATGGTAAGGACAGTCATACCTCAGGGGCGATTAGAATTAAGGTCGTTTTGGGCAGAGAACCATTTGATCATGAAATTTTAAGTGATGACCCTGTCACAGCTCAACATCAGAAACCAATGTTTTCAGTTAGTTGGGTCTCTCCTCCCGTTTTAAACGTGTGGAAGCGTCCTCACACTCATGCCTCAGGAACGTCCTCACATCTTGGATGCATTAGACCACCTCCTTGTGGTTCAAGATCATCAAAATATTTTTGATGTACTTTCAGGGATGCCAGGTTTTTCTAAACGTACAGGTACATCAAACACCAATTTTTCTAAGTTTATGAAGATAGAAAATCATTCGTTTTACTGTATTGGGAGGGCCGTTCCTTGTTGACCGGCATTAAATTTCTTTCTCCTGGTGTTCCTCGTGGACCATATTATTATTCCCACCACCACTCATTTGGAAGAGGATATATAAAACATTTATTTTCTTCCCTTTATTAGTAGCCTGTCCAGACTCCCCCCTTCTCTATCACAGTCTGCAGTCTTGACCTCATATTCCCGGCGTGGTTCCAAATGAGGTCCAAGTGGGCAATCAGCTCCACTGCTGGCTCCTGAGTGTTCACAATTGAACCCCAAAGATTTTCGACCGGGTTCATGTCTGCCTCTTTGCTAGGCCAGTCCAACAGGTGGAGGTTCTCCTGTACGAGATCCACTGCTGAACCAGCCTAGCAGTGTGGATGGGGCAGTGATCCTGGACAGATATTATGAAGCTGGAAGGGAAGGGAAAATTCCTCTTACAGAGAGAGGGGAGGAAAAAATCATTAAGGATGTCAACATATGTTTTGGCACTAAATTATCCCTGAATTTCTGTGAGATCTCCGACGCCATGGAGAGTCATCCACCCCAACACTTGGCTGCTTCATTGTTGTTCATGGATATTGCGCTGATCATATTTGTGTAAAACAATGTAGATCTTATCACTTTGTTATATTCTACACTTTCAAGTCAAATTATAATTTATTATTTACTCCAAGATAAGTAGATTTCATAAATTAATTTGCTCTACAGTTTACTAAAATTAACAACATTAGAGGTTGCAAACATAACTTTATGGGTATGTTACCTTGTGTTGTTTTGGTGTCACACCTGGATACGGTCATGGTAGTCGGATGAAAATGGTTTTTCGTCGGTGAACACTACTCTTGCCCCAAATTCCTCCTCCTTATCGACATACTATCGAGTGAAGGCGAGCCTCAAGAGATGGTGGACATCTGTAAACCTCTTTGGCTAATGCTCATTGGTGGAGTATCCGGTGTAAATGAGCAGTGGCCTATTTCGAAACTCCAACATCATGTTGTACTGTATATTCAATCATGTTCGTAAGTAAAACAAATGCATGGATAGGTTTTAGAAACGGATAGAAAACAAATTATTTTTTATTTATCCATACTAACGTGTTTGGGTGTAAGCGTTAACCTTAGCTGACCACTGATTAGTTGCCTGGTTTGTGTGTTTCTGGAGGAGGAGGGATGCACCCAGCAGAGTCGCTGCTTAGGAATTTCGAGGCCGCCAGTCTGTGTGGCTTATAACTTAGTCAAATAAAATATTATAAGTGGCGTCCCTGTAGCGAAGGGTTTAATACAGACCAATACTATAGATGTAACATCCATAATTTTCTCCTAAATATTGTACTTACACTATACCCTGTACTCCAAAACGACCAGAAATGAAAAAAAATAAGCAATATTAAAATTTGAGATAAATATAAACTTAATTTTATTTTCTGTAGGCAAGATACAGGTGGATGTTTTGAGGTGCCTCAGCAAGAGAACCAATGAATTGTTTTACATGGCCAGACAATTATTCATAACAATTACAGTATTTTCATCTTCTCTGGGTCATTAGCAACATACTCCTATTATGGTAGAGAACAAGTATCAATAATATTTAGGCAAGATTCAGAAATTTTATTCATATATATTATAATAAATATTGATATATATATATCAGTAGTTCTGACGAGGTTACATTATTGTACAGATATTTTCTTAACCTACATAAGAATAAATATAATGTATCTAAAACTACTTAACCTTGACAGTTATACGTAGTACACTAATGTAATATGCATCATATACGTATTTTTTTTTTCAATGTTTTCTTGATATTTTCATTCCAACAACATACAGTTTTTACAATATTCCATTTTCTTATGATATAATTCTGCTGAACATTACAAAAACATCTTTACATTCTCAACTTATGTGCAATCCTCCCAGAAAAGAAGTTATGGGTGACTGGTCAAATGCTCCCCTGCCCTAACCTAACCATTAAGATTGAACCCCAATTTTAATGGTTAGGTTGGATCTCACAGGACAGAGACCCATCAGGGCTTATAACCTTGGTACAGTAGGATCGGGATATACGTATCGCGACTTTATATAGCGATTTTTGTATATTGCGGCTACCAAAATTATAGACATTTTCCTATATACAGGTATAGTGATAATTTTTTTTATTTCGCAAGGGAAATCAGGCAGGAAATATTTCAAATGTACCGCCATGGCAAACAAATGCGTTATTTTCTCACCGGAGGCGCCACCGTGGCTGCTTACTCACACTCGCCCGCTCAGCCTTTCTGAGTGAGTGTCAAGAAAGCAGCCGACTCTGCTGCAGATTACGACTTCTAAGGTGAGTGTAAATGGGTTGCTAGTGACGTAAAAAGTGAAGTGAAGATAATGGAAAGCTTAATGGAAAGATTTAATAATGTAACTAATATTTTTGGTGTTCGTTTATATAGGTGTGGGATTGTCAAGTGAGGGTGGCAGTGTGGTGTCTACTGCCGAGGATGGTGCGTCAGCTGCCGAGTCTGGTGTTCCTTGATATTGATACCGACATTGAAATAGCCTGTTGTTCCCGAGACTAGTGTTCATTGGTGCTTTAGTTAGCAAGAAAATGAACTCGTTAAGTCAAGTTTAGTCACTTTTTGGGGCCTCCAGAACCTAACCCTATTTTCCCCATTGATTACATGTAATTAATTATATATCGCGATTTAGTATATAGCGAACATCGTTGGACCCTATCTCGCTATATATCCCGACCATACTGTACTCATGTCAAGTGGTATCAAATCAAAGGTAAAGCTTGTCTTAAAAGTACGAGTTTTGAAGTAATGTGGTCCCCCAATTGATATCAAGGTCAATACTTTATATCTTACTACGCCTATACTTTTAGGAATACTTTACGGTATGCAGGTTGCCCTCATTTATACCAAGGGTTGCATTCACCCTCTTGACAATTTTTGTGTGTTTATTATGAATCTCTAGGATGTAGTTCTGTATAAGTATTGGCATCAAACTAATGAATGTTTATTTACTAATTATAATACCCTGTACTAGAAATTAGTGAAAATACAGAACCAAACAGTGCAGGGAAGAGATCTTTACAATGTTCTGACATGACTTCTAGCTGGCAATGACACCTTGGTGGTCCATTCCAGCAGCATATGATGCTTTTCTTACAGCATAAATATAATTGCACTATGATAATTAACCACTTTTAAAATTAACACAAATAAGGTATTCATGAAGTATGTTTCATGAAACGTACAAGTGAAAACAAGAAACAGAATTTGAAATAATAATTGGTGCCAAGTTTAGTGTTCACAGTGTAGCATCAGTAAATGGGAAAATTTATGAGAACATAATTTTGGCAAGATACTGTATTTATTTTTTTAAGCCATTCCACAAATCTCTAACATTATGTAACTTCTTCAGAAAAATGCAGTGTAACAAAAACAGGCAGATAATTTTTACTCTTATATATGAACTTATCTGTTTTCTAAGATATAAGCACTGTAAGTACTGTTATCACATTAAATAATGGTTATTTACTGACTATAACACTAGTACAGTATCTGTGTAAATGCCAGACAAAACAGCACAAGAAAGACGTGTGATCAATGCTTCAGGTGCAGTTTGGAGTAAATGTTTTCTCTTGATGCATTAATTGTAGGAAAGATGATATTGCGATGCATATCCATGACTGTGTAAACCTTAATTCAGTACGGTATACAGTATATAAAATATGGGTATCTATAGTAAAAATTAATCAGTGCGCGGGTAAATCTAGTTTTTGCTAGGCCGGCATAAACAAAGACTACCTGGAGTTTTATTAATGATAGGTAGAAGCTACAGCAACTTCTCGATGGATATCGAGGGTTAGGGTGGGCAAGCCTATATATTTTTGTCAAACCCTAAGAATGACTTAAAAAATATAGCTAGTTATAGGTTTTACTTGTGAAGTACCGGTAAACTTTTCTATATGCTGTACATAGTATACCCATTATTTGTATTAAGTATGATGAAGCCATAGATATACTGTATTACCATCATCAGTTTTGTCCAAATGATCCAACAATGCTACCTGTTAGGTTTGTTAAGAGAAGTATTCTTCTTCTTCTGGTACTTCTCACTTAAACTTGCCAAGCCATCAGTATAATGTTTCAGGTCAGAAGGAAATAAAGTAACAGCTTGAATGACAAGGTGGATGCTCAGTGATAAATGTAGGGAAGCCGGGAGACATTGTTACTACGGTACACACACAAAATGGCAACTTTATTTGGTTTGAAAATGTAAACAAATAATGGTTGACCAGGGGGTGTATCACTGCAATGCCCTGACAACTTAATGAAAGTATACTCTGGAAGCTCACTGGTAAAGTTTCCTCCAGTGTTCCTCTTAGCCTGGTGGTAGTGGCATCATAGATTTTCCATTGAACCAGATTTGGGGTGGTGGTCACCTCCTCCTCAGACCATGTGTTAGGTCACACTGAGCTCACCAAGTGCATCAAAGTCATATCCTGTTCATGTATGTTAGTTACTAGTTCTGATTTGCACATTTCATTGCTTTTTGTTTTTGTGCTGCAGCTTTATACAATTTAGATCGTAGGATTTCTTTTCATGAAACAATGTCTAAAAATACAATGATCTGTACTGTAATTATTTTTATTACAACATTGGAGATATAGGGTATTGCCACTCCAGAGTCATCAACTGCCCAGCTGGATGAAGCAACAACAGATGGTGAATTGTTTCAAGGAAAATTATTTCAGAGGAATGTTGATTACACATTAGGAACAGATGGGTTGTGCTGGTGTAGTCAAACCATCTTGGTAAAGTTTGAGGAAGTGTCTGGAAGCAGTATACTGAAGTGTTGTAAGAGCTGTTGCTATTTGAGCAGAGGGGGGATTTGGGATCTGTATTTTTCATAATTTGTAAGGATACTACAGAGTTGGTAGTTTTTGGTCACACAAACTCTATCCAATTGGGATCATTTACTTTGCTGACATGAAACAGCTTGAACAGACAGCACCCGGGTGAGTTCAGAAAAGGTAACCACCCTGTATGCTGTCTTCTGATATTAATACCTGTCCTTTGGTACTGTCAAGGTAACATCAACTACCTGGTAGGTACAATACATTACAGTACACTTTATTTACTTTGGTTTACGAAACAGGTCCTCTCTTGCCCCCTTTACACCATTAAGATTCCTCAATATCTCCTTTGTTTATTTACCCACAGAGTGCAGAGTATGGAAAAAGTAATATTTTTAATGTTCTTCAAATTACTATCGTTAATGTTCTTGCTTTATATAAATGTCAGCAATATCCTTTTCTTCTTTTATAATTGGTTCACACATAAATGCACACATATCTATCTCCTGCTTAATGGGTTTCAACTCTTGAGAATTATCAATCAAACTTGGGTCAATAATTTCATCATCTTCTGAAGGTAAATAATCTGCAAACCTTCCATCATCATCTGACTCTTCAGCATTTAGTGGCAAGGATGGCTCTTTAGGAGATATTGGTCTTGGGTCTTCACAATTGTCATCTGAATTGGAGTCAGAAAATTCACCATTTCCTGATGGTGAATAATCAATATATCTTCCGCTGTCCTCTGAATCATCAGCATTCAGAGACACAGATGACTTTTCATGAGGTGTTGTCTTGCTTCTGGTGTGCTTGTCATCTGAATGAGTCTTCATGTGCCGTATAAGAGAATGGCCAAAAGAAAATGTTCTGTCACATAAGTCACACTTATGCGGACTGTTCCCAGTGTGGATGTACATGTGTTGATTAAGATACCAATTAGTGGGGAATGACTGATCACATTCTTGACACTTGAAAGGTTTGTCAGGGGTATGAGTGATCTTGTGTTTTCTTAGCCGCCACTTAGTCTTAAATTCTTTTCCACACTCACTACATGGGTATTTGTTGTTTGAGTGAGTCTTCATGTGTTGGTCGAGGTGCCACTTTGTTGTGTATGCTTTTCCACATTCACGACATGTGTGAGGTCTGTTATATTTTATGTGGGTGCGTATGTGCTGACTCCTGTGAACCTTCGTGGCAAAAGACTTACCACAGAAGCTACAGTCATACAGAGCATCACCACTGTGGGTGGCCATGTGCAGATTTAATCGTGATACAATGGCATAAGACTTTCCGCAGATATCACACGTATGAGGTTTGTCACCTGTATGACTCCTCATATGTAGAACAAGATCCTTCTTGGTATCACAGACCATATCACATTCACTGCACTTGAACCTATCACTTGCATGGGTCTTCTTGTGCAAATTTAGGCGCTGTATAATTGCAAATGACTTGCCACATTCTGTGCACTTGTGAGGCTTCTCACCTGTGTGTTTAAACATGTGTCTTCTCAAGGATCCATTATCAATAAATCCTTTCTCACATTCAGAACACTTGAATGGCTTGAAATTAGTGTGGGTCTTCATATGCTGTGTTAAGTTCCAATTGGATAGAAATACCTTCCCACACTCATCACACTTATATTCAATGTTTGCGTGGCTCCTCATGTGCCGGCTAAGATGCCAGTCGCTAGCCAAAGTCTTACCACATTCGCTACACTTAGGTTTGATATTTCTGTAACTGTCTACCAGTTGGGGTGACTGGATGGTTTCACTGTCGCCAGAGTGACTCTTATTCATGTGCTGAGTTAGATCAGACTTAGCATGAAAAGATTTGTCACATATTTTGCACTTAATAGAACTGTCACCATTGTGGACCACCATATGTCTCGCCAAGTTGAACTTGCGCTCAAATTTTTTTCCACATTCTTTACACTTCACTTTAGTTTTATTTGCCATTGTTGGAAATGAATTTATAAGAGTGTTGGAGTTAAGCCCACTAGTAAAAATTTTAAAGCATTAATTCTGAAGGTATAAATTTTCCCACAGTTACTGGATGACTAACCAATTGCAAAATTGCTCAATTTAACAAAGTTCATTGTAGTGTTTATCAAAACAATTCATCCACATCTGTGAACAATGTATACACTGCTTATTGATTTAATATTACAATACAAAACATACATTTACAAAGTACATACATCAATAATTAAGACTGAAGAGTAGACTATAGTACTATATTTCATATTAAGGATCATCTCAGATAAATGCTTTATATCAGAGTAACATAATTATTAATATACTGTACTGTATTAATGTACTAAACTGGGTATAACTTCCACCTCATACATATATAATCACTTTAATTTTTAAATAAGAGTACTACATCAATACTGTTCTAACATACTCAACCGTCAGTTACCCTCAGCTTTATAAACTGAACATATACAGCCTGGTAATACTGTTGGAAGATGGCAGGGAAGTATTGTACCTCTTGAACTTTTTTTTTTAAATCCTTTAGTTTTCACGTCCTTGTATCAAACTGTTGACACAAACTGAAAAAAAATTTATGTTATCTTAGTGAGACTACTTAAGCTCATACAGTTTTGTTTTAATGAAGTATTGAATCATTAATTTTATTTCTATGGCTGTGATTATGAGACAGAGTTAACTGTAAAATTCCAACAACTGGAACACCTCTGTGGTAGTCTATGGTGTCAACTTATCTAGCGTCAGGCTACGATACCATTGGGACCAGTACAGTGTTTTGTATTACTGCTTTGGTGTTCCTCATCCATTGAGCCTGGGTTGAGGTAATTTCTTATAATGTTTGTCCTGTGATTACTTCAAAATGCTGTACAGTCAAGCTCCAGATTCACCAGAGAAAAGCCTACAGAAAAGGTTCACTGCACCTCACAACTCACTAATGCACCAGAATTATCTGAACTGTTTAAAGCAAATCAGTTATGTTACTATTACACTTACACAACTAAGGTCTTAAAGGTTATTAAAAGACTATTACATCAATAATAATAAAAAAAAATATGAAACAAATCTGGGTTGAAAATCACACACATGTCTGGTTGTCAACAACTGTTTTCACCGAGATGATTGTTATTTACTGTAGTGATATATGTAAGTAACCACAGAATTTGTCTGATAAATAGAAAATTGTGTACTGCACAGTAATATAAAGATAAAAATAAGAACAAATAAGTGTAAGGGTATATTGTATGTGGAGACGAGTGTACAGTAAGATCTTGTAGACTGGAAAAATTGCACCAAATTCAAATTTGCCAAATGCAAATTCATAGGTAAACTTATGGGAAAAATAACAATATAGACTGGCCACTCTACATCAACCTCTGATTTTCCCGTTTATAAACTCCAAATGATACAAATTTTGCCTTTATTGACTTGATTGTGCTTTCCGGAAACTAGTTTTTAGGCCTTCCTCAAGTAATTTAATCACACACTGCTTATCCTGCATCCAGTACTTGGCAAACTTAACTCCCATACGATAGTCCCACTTCTCCTTTTCCTTATTTGGCCGCTTAGGTGGGTCTGTCCCGCCCCCACCAGCACCAGTAGGACCCCCAGTAGAGGTAGAGGCCATAATCTTGATTCGACAGGTGGTAGGACCACCTAAAAAAAGCTCACAATAGCTGCCCGGACAGTCGCTAGGATGGCGAGGGCTACAACGCCATAGTTGGGTTCTTGTAAACCTCTTTTATGTACACCACCAGCAATTTGATCACCAGAATGCTTCTTAGAAACATTCTTCTTACCTTCTCTTTCCATATTTATCGCTAACACAACATAATTGGAGAAAATAGCAAAAAGCACGGAGTAATTGACAGAAACTACATCAAGACCTACAGGCCGATTACTGACTCTGCAGTGCGCCTCTTCGGGCAGTGGATAGTTCACCATCCCTGGACTGAAGTACTTAGCGTGGATGACGTGGAAACCAAATGGATAAATTATACCAACACCACCACGGAAGCTCACCACCACTTCTTCCCCGAGAAGTCCGTCAGATCTCACCCAGCTGACTTGCCCTGGATCACACCTCGGATCAAAAGACTTATGCAACAGAGAGACAGAGCCTTTCATCTCAATGACCACATCCGCTACAGGTCCCTTCGCAACCGAGTCATCCGCGAAATACGCACTGCAAAGAAGTCCCACTACCCAACCAAATTACAACACCTGAAGCAGACCAACATCAGTCAATGGTATGGTAAGCTTAAAGAACTCTGTGGACTAAACAATAAGACACACCCCCTCCCCTTCCTTAGCCATCTCACTAATGTTGACGCAGCTGAACAAACAACCAACCATTTCGCTACTATATGCCAGACGCTCCCCCGGCTTGACACAACCACTCTCCCTGCTTACCTACCAGCCCCCCTTCCCACTGACTTAGTAGAAGAATTTGAAGTAGCAAAACGCTTGGACAAACTAAAATTAAAACGCTCTACCACCCCCATTGACTTACCAATGAAACTCTTCAAGGAGTTCTCCCCGGAGCTTGCTAAACCCCTATGCTCCATCATCAATGCTTCTCTCAGTCAAGCCAGATGCCCAGCTGACTGGAAGACCTCTTATGTATCACCAGTGCCCAAGTCAACCAGCCCACAATCCTTAAATCAGCTACGACCTATTGCAATCACCCCAATACCCAGCCTAATCTGTGAAAGTTTTGTGTTCGACTGGGCTTATGCTGATATTGCAGGAGTCGTAGACCCTCAGCAATTTGGCAACATGAAAACTTCCTCCACCACTCACTGTCTTGTCAGCTTTCTCGATTACATATACCGCCATCTCGAGAAACGAAAAACGTCTGTAGCTGTCGCCTTCATTGATTTCACTAAAGCGCTCGACCTAGTCGACCACAATATAATCATCAACAAAGCTATTGACCTCGGCTTCGGAGAAGTCTTATACCATGGCTTACAGACTTCCTCAGTGACCGACGCCAAGCTGTACGCTTCAGAGGGGCTGTCTCCACCTTTCAGTCACTCACCTGTGGCGTCCCCCAAGGCACCAAGATGGGACCACTCTGCTTCCTTATGCTCATCAATGATGCCCTAAGAGAAACCCCTGCTCGCTGGAAATATGTCGACGACTCCACCATTGGGATCAGCGTCAACAATTCTGCTCCCAACTATACCGCCCTTCAGGATTTATTGAACAGTCTCCAAAACTGGGCCACCAACAACCATGTCACCATCAACCATACCAAGACCATGGTTATGCACATCAACCTCTCCTCCGACATTGTCCCACCTCCTTCCATTACTCTAGGTCCGAACACACTCCAGGTTGTAGATTCCACGAAGCTCCTCGGCATCACCATAGACAACAAACTAAATTGGAAACCACACGTCAGTGAAGTTGTCAAATCCTCCAGTTTCCGTCTCCACCTCCTCCGCCGACTCAAGTCCCTCGGAGTTCCTGCACCCGAGCTCCTCAGTGTTTACACAACATTCATACTTCCCAAGCTCACCTATGCCTCCCCCACCTGGTCTTCCTCCCTAAATGCCACACAACAAAAGAAAGTGCAAAAGAGGGCATATTATTCTCACTTTCTCCACTGACCATCGACCTCATAAATTGAACACAACCGCACCAGAGATCCAGACTGTTCGATTGTAAAAATTATCAATAACTTGTAATAAATCAAGTGTATTCACTCCCAGTAAACACTACTCCTTGCACTGTCACTATGTTGAAATGAACTGTAGTTTGAGCTTTTCCCCATCTAGTTATTATATGTCTTATTTGTGTCACTTATGTTACTTGTATATTATTTGTAATTCGTAACCCATTCCCCAAATATGTAACTGTATATTTTCAGCCTTCTGGCTGCCAAGCTTTCAATAAACCGTTAATTATTATTATTATTAACTGCGCGATTCAACTGGTCACGTGATGTAAACAGAGAGCGCTGGTGTAAACTGTTATTAGTCCTCACTGCGAAACATTCTTTTTACTTATTCTTTTCATACAGTATTTACGGATAACCGCTAAATTTGCAAAAAAAAAAAAAAAAAAATTTACAGTGTCTCTCAAAAAACACTTCACAAACAAAAGACACGAATCAATTGAACATGTGATGTCAAACATGAACTGTAAACATTGCATAACCCCGCGCCACGCTTAAAACTTTGAGGATGAAGTCGTGTTATAGACAACATTCGTATGCAAAAGTTCGCATTTTACAAACAGTGTTCCCCTATTCATCAATCGCGTTACAACCAATTCACATTGACAAAACACGAGTTGTAGCAGAAATGACTGTAACTGGTATGAGGGCTGTGACGTCATTCAAGACGGTGGCCAGCATTCAGCTTGCTGGATCTCGCGAAACTCAAGATATTTTACGCCAAATATAAGACTTGGTTACATTAGGTAGTACTCGCAAAATTCAAAAATGCGAAATGAAATCTTACTGTATATCTGGGAGCAGCTGGCAGAAGGGAGGGGGGAGAGGTCAGGTGGGTGGCTCCCCCCCCCCCCTCCCCCCAAGCAAGATCCCTTTAAAACTCTTTATACAATTTCACCATAATTCTCATATAATTTAGGTTCAATTGGTTGATATAATATCCTAAAGAATCGACTTTCCTGAAAAAAGAATCCCACCATGAATCATTTGTTTACAAAGGCCAAAATGTTTGGCTGAAAGAGCTGATAGGCATAGCTGCTTACCACAACATCTATCTTCAACACTTAGTAAATTAGTACAGTATAGTAGTGTATTTATCATCACTTCATAAATAATACTGGAGTGTACATTATTGTGTATCTGCATATACCCTGGTTTATTCATTAATCATTTGTCTAAGTGTACCAAAAGCCAAATTGAGCCATCCTGCATCATTCAAAGGAATCTTCATATCAATACAGTACAGTGTGTTATAGTGACCCCTGTTGTAAGCTGGTCTGCTGAAAGCTCTCACATAACACATCCTGAGTAAATACCTTCAAATACAGCTTATCCTTTTATATTCAGTCATAATACAGATTACATACAGTATTGTATTTTTCTCTATTACTGAAGATGTTATACTAATCATGATGAACCATAAACCATAAGACGCCAATCATATGAGAATATAATACTGAATCAATAAATAAATAAACCTGACTAATGTGGCAACACCTGATCAGCCCCAGCCTGTTTACATACTCAAGTGTCTTATTTCTCAGTAGGCCTATAGCAAATCTGATTAGACCACAGTACAGTATTTAGTAAGTGTTGTTCATTTAAAAAAAAAAATTTAATTCCCCATTTCTTAAAATATGTACCTCCTTTTTTTTTGTGTGTGTATTTTTGCTGACCAGAGCACCTTAGTCCCCCAAAAAAAGAATTCCATTATAATGAAGTCCAATTTATCAAGGTTTTACTGTACTTGACAAACTTGATCCAGTGAACATTCCCACTGTGCTGGGCTAGAAATTTCCTATAGTCACTGAGGATATCAGCATATACTTAAAACATTTTCTTACAGACATGCAATTAAGCATAACATTATTGATGTAATATTCACATTAATTGAACTTGAGACAATAATACTCAAGTGCTGCTTAATGGCACTAATTGATTCTAAAAAATCTTTATCTAAAGTATAGCCGGGAAAAAAAAAATACCTGTACAATTCTTGTGCGAAACAAAATGACACCACGGATGAAGGTTTTGATGGTCCCATGAGGCATATGTACTGTTATTCACCCATCATATTACAATGAACTAATTTTATATTTTGAATGAAGTAACTTAATTAGGCCTACCCCAATCATGCTTATTAATCTTAGAGACAAAAGGATTGTTTATTTCCAAATTCGTTAGACCCCTCCTGAACGATATTTTTTTTTACCCAGTATACACAAAAAAAGCTGTTGGATATACTCACATGTACTGTAGTCCATACTAGCCTCAGAACCTCGGGCATCACACCTGCAACACACACTCCACTCACTTATTGTGTAAGGGTTGATATGGTTTGACTACACCCTAAGCTGACTTATTCTAAGCCGACTTAACCTAAGCTGACCTCACCTAATCTAATCTAAGTTGATTTAATCCAACCTAATCTAATTCAGCTTGACCTAACCTGGATAGTCTAATTAAACCTAATTTTGAACTTTTGAAAATAATGTTAAAATATTCTTAGGAATAATTTGATTCAGTCTGTCTACATATGGTTAAAGATGACTTGACTATTCACTTGTGATAGCAGTTGAAAAGAAACCAACAAACCTAACCTAATGTTTTTATGTTTATATTCTTAATGATGTTTGATTTACTGAGGCTAGGTTTGGTTAGTTAAATATTGTTGTTCCTTTGATGTTCAATACTTTTTACTTTCATCCTCTTCACCACTGATCAGCTCATAAACCGCTTGGGTGGTCAGTAGAGTTGTAAAATGTCCAGGCTCTGTTAGTCAAGTAAAAGTATTGTTACACTGCCAAAATGTTACTCAAGTAGAAGTAAAAGTATCCAAAGTTCAATGTACTCAAGTACAGTGTTCCCTCGATTAACGAACACAATTGGTTCCGCAGAGTCGTTTGTTAACCAAAAATTTTGTTAACTGAACTATTATTTCAATGGGATATTGGGTAATTGGTTCCAACTCACAGAAAAAGTACATAATGTACAAAGTACTGTATACTGGTAATAGAATTAACAAAACATTTAATATAAACTAAATACAGTACAGCTCCTCCCCGGCTCATGACCTACCCGACCTACGTCCACCCGCACTTACGATCTGCTCAGTCCGTAACGACCATCCGCACATACGACTGAGCAGTCGGGACCAAAAAATTTGTCAAATGACGCGCGCATTTTCTATACTGAAACGTTTCCGTCCGATACAAGCGAGAGCATGGCTTGGGTCACCGCGTGGGCACAGCACCCACGCAGTAGAGCACTTAGTTGATGTTTGGCTGTAGTATCCGCAACTGATCGCGCTGTGTACTGACATTATTTCCGTACTTAATTGACATTATAATGACTGGAAAGCATACAAGTGAGAGTGCTGGTGGTGCTCAGAAGAAAAGGAGACAGTCAATTACTTTTGAGACGAAAAAGAAGATAATAATGCAGTATGAAAATGGAAAAACTGTAGCAACAATTTCATGCGACCTAGGGTTTTCGCATTTGACCATATCCACTATTCTGAAGGACAAGGAACGTATTCGTGATGTAGTGAAAGGATCAGCACCTATAAAGGGAATTATGATTACGAAGAAAAGACAAGGTCCTATTCACGAGATGGAAAAGTTATTGGTGATATGTATAGAAGACCAGATACAGAAGCAAGTCATGGGTGGTTTAACAGATTTAAGAACCGCCACAGTTTACTTAAGGTGAGTGGAGAGGCAGCTAGTGCTGATGTTGGTGCTGCCGAAGCTTTTAAGGAGGAGCTAGATCGTGTGATTGTGGAAGGAAATTATTTGCCTGAACAATATTCAATGTGGATGAAACTGGATTATTGTGGAAGCGCATGCCTGACCGGACATACATCCACAAAGAGGCGAAAACAAAGCCAGGATTCGAGGCATTCAAGGACCGAATTACACTTCTGTTGGGGGGGAATGTTGCTGGTTTCAAGCTAAAGCCCTTCATGATCTATCATTCAGAGAACCCCAGGGCTTTTAAACATGTCAGCAAGCACACACTGCCAGTGTTTTATCGCAGTAACAAGAAAGCCTGGATGACTCTAGTACTGTTTGAGGATTGGTTCATGAATTGTTCCATGACTACATTAAAGGTAAGTGCTCAGTTACACTGTATCCATTCTTCAATATTGATTATTTTTGCTGTGCTGTATTTCATTTTAGATTTTATAATTTTTTTTTTTTTGCATTTCCGACTTACGACCTGGATTTGGGTCCCTAACTCTGTCGTAAGTCGAGGAGGAGCTGTACTGTACTGTACAGTATACTGTACAATAATAATTAAAAAGACAATAAAATACAGTACTGAATTTTAACTTACTTTGAGGTGTGTATGTCATATTCCTGGCAGCTTTGTTTAAATATCAAACAGCTGATTGTACAGGCAGCCGATGATGACATGCCATATTCTTTACAGAGTGCATTGGTTCTAATGCCTTCTTCATGTTTCATAATAATTTCTGCACTGCATATTATCAATATGTTGACTAAATTTCAGAATGACCAATAATTTTAATGTAAAAATGCAAAAAATATTCAAGAGACCAACAAACTCGATGTTCACTCCACTGTAAACAAAGTTAAACTGAGAAACGTTGGTGGGTGATTTGATCAGCTGAAGGCCACACAAAAACTGTTCCCTGTACTGTATATATTATCAATATGTTAACTAAATGACCATTAATTTTAATATATAAAATGCAAAAATATTCAAAAGCACAACTTTCTTGATATTTACTCCTAAGGAAACGAATGTAAATATAGCACCAATTACTGTACTGTATTGGTGAATTTGCCGATCAGCTGATGCGCACAAAAAACGTTTCTCGCAAGGCTTTCGTTAATAAAAGTTTTGTTCATTAATTGAACTGAAAATCCTTATGGGAGGTAATTTGTTAACCGAAAATTTGTTAATTGAACCGTCCGTTAATCGAGGACCACTGTACTGAAGGTAAAAAGTAACAACAAATTAATTGTCTCTAATATTAAAATATATCTACAACTATTTGCATTGTAGCAGAAATAACTGTATATGTATATATATATATATATATATATATATATATATATATATATATATATATATATATATATATATATATATATATATATATATATATATATATATATATATATATATATATATATACATACACAGTTATTTCTGCTACAATGCAAATAGTTGTGTTCTTTTCTCCCCCATCCAAAAACCCGGGTTTCTCTTCCACTATTGCTGGGGAGGGGGTAAAAAACGAGCTATTTCCGCCCAAAATGAATGTCAGATTCGTTTAAAACACCAAACTATACTGGAAAAACATATTGGTCAACCCAAATGGACTCATGTCCTAAAGTAAAAAATTTATCATTCTTTCTGTATAATACACTGGGGAACAGAGCCTCACGGCTAGGAAGTTATGTAAGGTTAGGTAGTATTGTTTGGTTAGATTGGTGAGGTCTTCTACTAATGCTTCTGCTGCTTGTTTTTCTTATCAACTAAGGTTAGGTGAAATTAAGACGTTTTAGGATAATTTTCTATAAAAATCAGCGGCTGGTCAGTCATTACCCATCCCAGAAACCTTATAAGCTTGTGTTGTGAAATAGCCAAAAATTTCCAAAAGTTGCTGGTTAACCTGAACAACCATCGTCAACATTAGCTCAGTATTACCTTAACAACTTATTTCCATACAGATTCATATTTTTGTCCATATATGTTAAGTAACCTTCTGTCTACTTACATGATTAAACTAGATTGAGCTTGAATAACAAACTTGCTATCGTACTGATGACAACCTGATCAATACCTCATACCTACATGGGTCCTATGCCATCTTTCAAGCATAGGAATCTAAGGTTTATTTTTTTAATGGTTTATCGTGATGCATATAGGGAAGTATGAGCGATGGAAATTAAACTGAAATGAGAAATATACTTCAAACTTACTGTCCTGGTTCTGGATAAGCCTCGGTGACCTAATGGCCAATGTTGAGAAATTACAACGAACGTGATCGGTATATTATATAACTTTTTTTATTATCAAGTAGAAGATATAGACTATTAGATGAATAAAAAAAATAAAAAAATAAATACCTTAAGATGATTAGTTTAAGTTATCCAAAAAATAATTGGTTTTTAGAAATTATGAATATCTGTGGTGTTTTCTGTAACATAACGGTCAGGCTCCTCCTCCTGCTTACACCCGCTGACCGCAGACTGTAGAGCTAAAATCCCGCTGACCGCAGACTGTAGAGCTAAAATCCCGCTGACCGCAGACTGTAGGGCTAAAATCCCGCTGACCGCAGACTGTAGAGCTAAAATTTAGTCTTGCAACCCACAGATTTAAATTAATTCTCAAACACCACCAAGTAATATACACACGCGACATATAAGTTAACACGTTACAGATAAAACCATACATCAGCCCCATACTGTCACTATTACAAATGGGTATTATAGATTTAAAAATAGGTAATCAAATAAATAAGGTTTATATTTTTATGGAAAAAAATAGAAAACACCTTTATGTATAGGATGATGGATGCTCTGTAGTGTACACATTTTGAGATAAAAAAGGGTCAGTTTATAGTATCACACCGGTCTTTATTTAAAAATAGGTTTTCCTATGTATTGTGATGAGTTTCAAACAAATTTGGTATTCATTTCCACCGGAAATCACGTGGTTTTTAACCCCCCTGCACCCAACAATCATAACGGGAAAAGTTGGATTTTTTTAAAATAAATAAATTATAATACCAACCAACCAAGAAAACCTAACCTAACCTGGACCCCCGTCGGAGGCCTGGAGCGGTGCGTGCGCAGGGGGGTCAGACCAACCTAACCTACCTTGCGTCAGACCACCTCCGCCATAAGTAAACTTTGTGACTGAGTGAAAGTAATAATCTTAAAAAAAAATAATATATCGGGTATCCTTAATTTACAGTGGAAATGTCATAGACGAAAAATGTCTTACAATTGTGTAAACACTACGAGCTACTTATTTTTGATGCGCAAAATAAGGACCGATGTGATACTATAAATTCACCCCCAAAGGTTATGGCGCTCTGCTGCCTTTTAGGCGTAACAAAGAAATACAACTGCTGTAGATGACACAATCAAAAGGTAATTTTGTATCAGTGGGCTCAACTCAATTTCTTCATTAAAAATACGCTTTGGGCGCATAGTTCACACTATTCTAAGACACTTTTCTTCAATGGCATTTCTATCAGAAACGAACGGTGACCGAAATATTACGTGATTTTGGTTGGGAATTGTTCAGAGTCTTAATTTGTTGCGTCACGATTTTCCCCGAGTTCGTACTGCATTGCCCCTCTCGCCCAGGCTCCGCCCAATGTGTGCATCCTGCCTAAAGTTGATGTACCTGAAGCTTGTCCATTTGAATTAGGTTGGGTTAAGAACATAAGGAGTCTGTAATAGGCCGGTTGGCCTGTGCATGGCAGCTCCTGTCGAGAGTTACTACCACTCTCTATCATCCATGAATCTATCTAGCCTCCTATTAAAACTTTCCAGTGTTCCAGCACTTACTACAAAGTTGCTAAGCTTGTTCCACTTGTCCACCACCCCATTTGTGAACCAGTTCCTTCCTATCTCCCTCCTAAACCTAAATTTATCCAACTTAATTCCGTTGCTATGAGTCTTATCTTGCTTGGATATTATAAGAACTTTATCTATATCTCCTTTAGTGATTCCTTTAACACACTTAAATACTTCTATCATATCTCCCCGCACTCTTCATCTTTCTAGGGAATGCAAATTTAGTTTAATTAATCTATCTTCATATGGAAGGTTTCCAAGTCCCGGAATCATTTTCGCCATTCTTCGCTGCACCGACTCCAGTGAATTGATATCCATTCTATAATAAGGGCACCAGAACTGAACAGCATAATCGAGGTGCGGCCAGACTAGCGCAAGATATAGTTGCAATATGACCTCTGCACAGTGGCGTACCAAGGTGGGGGGGGCGGTCCGCCCTGGGTGACAGCCAGAGGGGGGTGCCATGAGGCAGGACTAAAGCTCAAAAGAACTGTTGATCATGGTAATCAAGCTGCAATGGACAGAGAGGAAGAAATGGAGGGACATACTTCATCATCTTTTGGATGTGACTATGTTTCTAGCTCGACAGAACCTTCCTTTTCGTGGTCATAGGGAGGATATGTTATCAATAAACAAAGGCAATTTCCTGGAACTGGTGGAGTTACTATCAAACTATGATCCTGTTTTGAAAGAATATCTTTTGGAGGTTAAGCATGCTATTCCATCTCAGACATCTGGAAGGAGAGTGAGCTCTTATTTGTTACCAAATATTCAGAATGAATTCATCTGTCTTCTAGGAAATAATGATAAGGAAAAAATATTGGCTGACATCAAGAAGGCCAAGTATTTTGGAATTCTTTTTGACAGTACACCTGATATTTCTCATGCAGATCAGATGTCCGAAGTGATTAGATATGTCCATGTTGAAGGTGATTCTGTTGAAGTAAGGGAATCTTTCTTGGGTTTCTTTCCTATTGCTGGAAAAACTGCAAATGAGCTCACAAAGGATATCCTGAGTAATTTGGAGAGTGATGGACTGGACATTAACTTTTGCTGCAGTCAGGGATATGATAATGCTGCAACTATGACTGGCATTCATGGAGGTGTTCAGAAGAGAATCAAAGAAATAAATCCAAAGGTTTTGTTTGTGCCTTGTGCCAATCATTCCTTGAACCTTTGTGGGATACACTCTTTTGGAACCAATCCTTTGTGTGTAACATTCTTTGGAACTGTAGAGAAACTTTATTGCTTTTTTTCACTTTCAACTCACCGATGGGAAGTACTGAAAGAAAATATGAACCCGACAGTCAAAAGACTTTCTCAGACTAGATGGAGTGCACATCATGATGCCATAAAGCCTCTCAAGAAACAATTTGAGAAGCTGATCATAGCCCTGGAAACATTGACGGATCAAAGAGAAAATGTTGACACAAGAGGATCAGCTGAAGTTTTGCTTAAAGCTGTATGTGATTTTTATTTTTTGGGTTATCTTTCTTTTTGGTGTGATGTACTGGAAGAAGTGAATCTCACACAGAAGTATTTGCAAACAGAAGGAATAAGTCTTGAAAAGTACACTGTAAAGCTCAATGGTTTGAAATTGTTTCTTCGAGGTTAGCGGAATAAAATTGTGGAGAGAGCGATTCAGTATGCAACTACACAATGTGAATGAAGAAATGGGCATCTCCATGGAAACAAGAGGGAGGATAAGACATAAGAAAATGATGCCAGGAGAGATGGCTAGGGATGCTGGACTGACAATGCAAGAGGAAATGAGGAGATTCAATGTTTGAATGCTTAGATCGATTTAGTCTAGAATTGGATGCTCGTTCAAAGGCCATGGATAACATCGTGTCAATATTTGCAGCTATTCAGCCAAGCTACTTGCTTTCTGCAAAAAGAACGACTACTTCAGGAGAGTATTTCAAATTCAAGCATGACCAAGATTTTTAATGAAATTTCTGATGATATCATGGTAGAAATTATGCGACTTCGCACACATGGAGGCTGCCAAAATCACACCTGAAGCAGCAAATAAATGGACAGTCTCGCAGTTCCTGAAGTTTATTGTCAAATGGGACTTTTGTGAAACTTTGCCAAACTTGTCATTGAGCCTGAGATTCTTTTTAACAATGTGTGTGTCTATTGCATCATGTGAAAGAAGTTTCTCAAAACTGACTCATCAAGAATTATCTTCGTTCTAGCATGATTCAGGCAAGATTGAACAGCCTAGCTATGATTTCTATCAAAAATGAATGTGCCAAGACAGTTAATTTTGATGAAATAATTGGTAAGTTTGCTGAAGCCAAGTCACGAACGATGAGGACGTAAAACTAATATATATAAAAAAAATTTTTGCGTTAGATGAAAGTATACCGCTTGTATCTCGTGGTTTCCTATGTTTTTAGAACAATCTAGTGCTATTGGTCAAGTTTCTGATAAAAGTGAGTTGAAGAAGGCTGCGCCCTTCTCAGTTTGTAATACTTTATTTAATGTGTAACTTGTAGTTATATACAGTATGGTTTCTGTACTTTGCATATTTGAATTACTTGTATGTGCTTTGTTGTATCGTGTAAATTTTGTTGAAATTAGGAAATACACTTGTTTATATATATACAGTGAACCCTCACTTTACGCGGTCAATTGAACCCACGGCGGCCAGCGTAAAGTGAACAACATAACATATGGGATTAATTGAAATAGAGACTGGGCCGACCCCCAAACTCCATTTTTTCAGACACAATACCTACGTTGTAATAAAAATAACTTCTTAATTTTATGATGGTATGCACACACAACTAATAATTAAGAGAAATATCAATAATATTAGGTTTTTTAACACTTACATTAGTAGAAAAGATGGCTGGGCACACGGGGATGGGGGGTTGGTTCCGAGGCAGAGGGCAGATTATTGGCCCTCACCTGTATCAATTGTATCACTATCCACCACAGAGGCTTGCAGGGCCTCTTTGTCAAACCCCTCAAATTCCATATAAGTCCATATCCTCACTATAATTATCACTATCACTGACTTGGGCCGGCTGTGGTGGGTGGCGGGTGAAGAACTTGGTAATGTTTTGATGACTGGGTGACCTTGTGCGCACCCTGCTCACGCCGCTCTCCGCGTAAAAGGGTACACACACGTGTAAAGTGAGCATTCCGTGTTCGGCAGGGTACCGCGTAAACGTGGAAACGCGTAAAGTGGGACCGCGTAAAGCAAGGGTTCACTGTACTGTAGATTTCCTAAATGTCATCCACATTTACAAACCTGCTTTTTATTTATGAATATTACACTTGATGTAGGCTACATTATACTTTAGTAAAAAAAAAAATAATATTTTCCATATTAATAGAAGGAAACTAAAGCATTTATATTATTTACTATGTATAATCCAAAATTCCTTAAAAGTATATTATTTTTTTTATCATTCGTCTCAGTAGAGGAAGAGTAAGGGGGCAAAGGAATGCCCTGCCCTGGGTGCTCAGTAATCTAGGAATGCCCCTGCTCACTGGTAATGTCTAGTGGTGAATTCACTGGCTTAAACACTGTTCATCACTGATCCCACTTCTTTCCGAAACGAAATTGTCACTTTTGATTAGGTAGATATCCCGGTGGTGAGGATGGGTCGGGGAGCGGGACTTGTGGAATGGGCCAACATTGACCAAGAGGGGCAGCGCCTGAATAGGTCTTGACCCTATGGTGGTCAAGGATGTAGAGAGAGAGTGTGTGTGTGTGTGTGTGTGTGTGTGAGGAATCCAAAAGGACTTAATATTCAATTCTCAATATTTATTCGTCTGTTGACAAAATGATTTATAAAAAAATATTAATGCCATATATGGAAACTTTGTAGTTTGGCCTTGATCAAAAAGAAAAGTAGAAAAAAAAAGCACCAGTTACCAATATGATATTTCACAGGAGAATTGACACTGCTTGAGAATGTTGCTTGAAAACTAAATCCTCATCCAAAGGGTTAAACTCAACACTGGTTAAACTGGGAACACAACTTTAGGTGACCACTTGGAGGCCAATTTTCACATGAACCACAAATACTAGAATTGGCTCTGGTCTTGTTTATGGTGTAGACTACAGTGCCTGGTAGCTACATGACAGGTAAAAACATAATATTTCCTTGACTTCAAAGTAAAATAATTAAACAAAAACATAAAAATAAATCCAATCGAGGACAAATTCACAAAAGAAAAAATTCCACACCAGCCAGCAATAAAATAATCAGTTATGAAGGAACACTATAATACTAGTCCATTTGTACTGACAATATAACATGGAATGGCTTGATATATTCGATACATCAACAAAGGTACAAAAGAAAGAATAATTCACATAGTCATACAAAATTAAGATCCAAATAACACCATGAGTTAAAGTAAAGCAAAGACTACTTGAATACTCTGTCTATGTTGTGGGAGGCGCTTCGGGCGAGAAGTTTAACATGTATGTGTATGGAGGAGAATAAGTACGTAGCTTTAGTAATTTTGAAATAAGTGTAATGGTACAATGAAGTCATCTCAAGCCACCGCCTTAACACTTGTCATGTTCTTTCCCCGAAGCATCTCAATACTCCTATGATGAATAAGGTACAGAGATTTATAGGGAGAGAGTACCCCCTATACACAGAGAGTACCTCCTATACACAGAGAGTACCTCCTATACACAGAGAGTACCTCCTATACACACTTCACTACCTATGCCAATCTCGCTTACCCAGCAACAGCATATGATCCTTGAGGTAGAAAATGGAGCCCCGATCATTATTGAAGAACTATTGATTCACTAAATTTGTTGTTTAGTGTTAAGTGCACTATTGTTGGTTACCCTGGGTAGTATCTGTCTCCCTTGGCATAAAAAATGCACTAGCAATATTATTACAGTATAGTAGTAACAATTTCATTTATGTGTTTAGTATTTACTTTCACTTTAGGGTAAATCTTTACTGTATATAAGTTTGGTAAATGAATATTTGTGTGACACTAACTAAATCACCTTATGGAGGACCACAATTACTGTAAAATAATAAAAATTGTTTTCTTAATAACTTCAAGGCTGGATAATATTAAAGTTTTATAGCACATACGAGTTATCTATATTGTTATTATTTACTTATTTCTGTTCTTTTGTACCGGTAAATTTTATGCAAACAGTAGAACAAGAAAATTCAATTACAGTATCAAAATAATGGATTATGGCAGCCACTAGGAGTTATAATCACAGCAAATCACTTCCTTCCTGGCAGTAACTCCTGGGATAGTTTTAACTCCTGTAGCTATGCCTTGTCTGTTGTCAATGGCTCCCGATCAACTTGTTCTATGACATCTAGTACGAGATCGGCTTTCCTCTTCCCATTGATTGAAATTCCGCGTATCTGTAGCCAGGCCTTCAGGACGTCCACAGTCAGTGTGTGAGCCTGTTGGTGGTAAAAATATATTCACTGGTATAATCATGATACAGTATTCATGGAGGATACATTCATAATATCACGTCTCTGTTATCAGCCAAAAATTCTGACTTACGTCTTGCACATTTTTTATTGTACCAGAATCTATAAATAAATTCAAAGCAGCTTGTCTACTGTATAATAGAGGTTAAGTCTTAATATAATGAGGCTATGTACACAAGTGTGTGTACTAACCTTGCCGGCCTTGGTCACGGCTGCAACGTCAATTCTCGCTGGGTCAGGCTTTGCTCTCTTGGAGCCTGAGGAGGAGGTGGCAGCTGGCCGTTTCTTGGTAATGCACTTGGGGTCATAAGAGGGAGGGTAAACCAGATCTCTGAAGGTCTCAAGTAATTTGCCGGCCCTCTTCGTGATGTTCTCATAGTCAGGTACTGCAAAAATAATTGTTCATTAAGCCTTTACAAGTATATCCCTTAGGTATTTTATTCTGGCTTATTTTATTCAGCTGAGGGAAGCCACTGTCTCCTAAAGGGTTAATATTTCAATAACTGTTCTTTAACTTTTATATTGTACATATAAACTCAATGTATATTACCTGAAGATCAGACACCCCCAGATTATTTCACATGATTAAGTACACTAAAGCTTACCTACCTTAACCCCTCCAGCTAGCATTAGGGTGTCTGATCTTCAGGTGAACCAATAATTTTCTTTTTCATGATACAGTCTGACAATGACCATTTAAAGATATTTCCTGTTCATGTATGAGCACTATCTAGGTCAAGGGTAACACAGTCAACTCACTGGTGAGGTCAATCACCGGGTCCAGCTGGGATCTGTTGAGGGCCAAGGCCTCAATGTTGCGCAGGTGTGTCTGAATATCAGGGTTGTCAAAATCCTGCGGCGAATACTTGAAAAAAATTTTCTTGAAGGCTGGTTTGGCTGCATCCACTTGTTCAGGAGTGGCACGGGTTGCATTCTTCAGTTTTATGTTGCGGAAATCATCTGTTAAAAACCAATATGTTACCACGAGAAGATGTCAGATATGATGATGCAGCACAGTAACATATGTTAAAAGCAATATAAACATACAATAAAACTAAACATATTGTACTGCATTAGCTATCAAACAGGGAGGTACTATCGCTTGGGAAGATATTGGAAGCATAATGTATTGTCTAATGGTAGACCCTGCTGCCATATGTGACCAAGTCCCAGGTTGCTGATCTGACTTTCTGCCTCATTTACACACAACTGCAGGGTCTCACTTGTTTCTTTTACTACTGACAACAGAACATACATATAATGTTTCTCACTTTTGATTTTTTAATTTTTGTATTTCTTCATAGTTCTTTATTATTATTATTATTACAGTGTTGTTGTTATTACTGTATTATTATTATCATAATTATTTTATTTTCAATTTTGTATTATTTATTATAAATTTTATTTACTTTGAATTATTATTATATTTTCGTCCCCCAGAACAGAATAATAGTAAAAAAAAAAAAAAATAATAATAATAATATTTTAATGTTAATGAAGTCAAACTGTTACTTCAGTAACATCTGACTAAATTTTTCAATATCTGGGATATAACATCAATGAACACCGCTTGTGAACTTTACTGTCTTTAAGGAACATTCAATTTCTCCATTTAACACTCACAACATCCTGTGGAGGCTGAGCCAAGAGAAGGAAGCCCAATATATATTTACTGTCATTTCCCATAAATTGTGGTGTTGTAAAACCCAGGTGAGGGAATACTTTAGGTAAAGGAGTGACATGACTGGTGGCCAGCTCAGCCCTCAACACAATACAGTAACTGACCCAACATGTTCCCTCACCGCCCAGCTTTATGAAATACCCATGTTCATCCTACCACTGTGACCCATACACTAGTGCTTCCATCTTCCTCCACAGAATACAGTTGGTCTCTCAGTGTTGAACATCTATAGTGCCTGTTTAAATAGCAAGAATGGAAATGTAACAGCCAATAATCAAAGCCAAAATGTCTGTACATAACTGAAATAAAAAGTGACATCACACATCTAATTATTCATCTCCTTCTCTCTTACTATCAGGTACAATTATGTGGGCTGATGACTGGAGCCAGAGTAACTTACCAGCAAATGGTAAATGTGACACAACAAAGCCTGGTGGAGTGACCTGACAATTCTTGTCATCAAGTTTCTCTGCTTGTGGCACCAACGCTGCCCATGACACTGTTGCTCCTTTATGGGGAATAAAGCGCACTATTGGTGTCACTTTTCTTGCTAAACAACGCTCCAACAGGGCTGCAAACATTTTGGTGCTACCTGCACAAAACTAAAATTGTTAGACTTTCATTATGTATTAACAGTAGTAATATCTTAACTGTAATATAAACATGAAAATTACTCAAACTGATCATTTTCACATTACAGTAATCAGTAAGTGATCACTTTACCTTGAACCAAAGTTTCGTCAGGGTATATGAACTGTGCTGACCTGACGTGGTAATATGGCTTGAGACGGCTGATTGGTTTGAACCCCAGGAGGTGTATACCAACATCATACACCTGCTTGAGTTTGCTCACTTCATCCTGTAAGATTACAAATGACATGGGAATAACTGTTGCATGTAAATGGTTATTATAACACGCATAAATACAGCTAAGAATGTCATAAACAGTTCTGAAACTTAAATGAGCTCATGGTATAGAAAACTGTATAATCTTTAAAATACAAAATACTACAATATGATATAGTATTCACTTTACATACAAAATATTACACTTTCTAATATAACAGATACAAAATGAGTACAAAAAAGACCCACCAGTATGTCACCAAGAACATCTTTTATCACAAAACAGTGTAACATCAGATGTTAAATGAGATGAACCCATGCATCACTTATTAGTCATTTCACCAGTTATCAGCTCACTCACTAGCCATCTGGGCAGGTGATCTGTTGTTTATTACTTTGATCTTTACTGTCTAGTGTTAGTACAGGAGAAAACTATACAGTACTACCTGGAAGAAACCCTTCTCACATAAGTCCTGGGCCAGGGATTGAACCCAGGACACAGTTGTGATATAAGAACCTTTCCAATGTACTGTAGTATATCACCAACTTTAGTTTTCTGTTTACTGCATGATGTTGTATTTAAGGTCATTTTGAGTCTCCATCTCAGAAAGGATATAACTTGGGCATATGTGCCGTATATACCTTGATCACCAGCTAGTTATTTGCATATTGATAAAGCTATTATTTCTCATTAGCCCTTTAAAGAGAGAAACTCCCCACCACTTAATACACATGCACAGTCCCCTTCACTAGTGTGTTTACAGGGGCTGTAAACACACAAGTGAAGGGGACTGTACTGTACATACTAACCAATGTTAAACTTATCTCCTTGCCGCCATACACCTGGTACTTTAAAATGTCATCTGATGAAATCAGCTCTCCAGTTTTCTGAAATGAATTGGTATCGTTTAATTCACCCCAATAATCCTGACAGAATAATATACAAAGTTCAAAATGAAGGACTGAACCATATACAGTACATTATCAACCTGACTATAGGACTTGTGACTAAGATAGACCTTTGAGTTGTTTATTATGTTGGCAAAAATATTATATTAAAACATTGCAAAAAATATGTTCCACGTAATATCCTGTGTGTAATAGTAGATAGTAACAAGAACAATTACGGCATCAATAAAGTTAAATCTACCAAGATCATCCAACACTATTTATAACCCTCAATGTACAAGACATGATAAGGCTTCTCACGTACCCGTAAATATGATTTCTTCACGTACTTCACTTCCTCGTTGGTTTCCTTCCACATTTTTGATTTATACGGCTTGTTCATTTTCCTGTGTAAATAGTGGCAATTAATGTCAAACTAAATTACCTTCTCATTTGTTTCATCTCATAACTCAGTCAACTTCAAGAAGAATGATAAAACTTATGGTAGTAAAAACAGTATAAATTATAATAACCTTCTAAGTATTCCAAAAGTTTAATTAAAACTATAAAGGTCTCACCTAACTGCCGTGTAAACACCGACTGACATCTCAACCCCGGGAGCCAGAGTAAACATGACTCGTCCAGTGGTGCGCTGCTTGTGGTCCAAACGCCTCACTCGCTCCAACAATTCCTTAAACCGACTTGTGGGATCTGCTAAGGTGATCTTGCTCTGTGAGTCCTCATTGTCTTCGCTCACATCAAGTATTATCAAGTCCTGTTAAGAGAAAAGGTTATAAAGTAATACAGTCAGCCCTTCACATACGCGGGTTTAGCATTCACGGATTCGCAAATACGCGGATTGCCCCGCCAGAGGAATATTCTGTGCATTGAAGTAATTAAAGTACATTCAAATCGCGCGCCATTCAACTCGCGCGCGGCACCGAACACGGGACACCGCTCGCTCCCGCAACCTCACACACACACACGCATAGCTCTCCCTCACTCAGTCAGTCTCGCTGTAACCACGCTTGTGTTGACATCAGCATTGTAGTTGCAAAAATATTACATTTCCGTGAATGTATTATATCAAGCACAGTATGAAAGAATATCACTAATATAAGAGTATTTTAACCGAAAACTACTAAAAAAACGAGTAACATCTCTTGAACATCGGAAGGTTAGGTAAAGTCTCTTGTTTTCGTCATGGATTTTATCCTAATTTACATTGAAATACATCACGTTTCAGCAAAAGTACTATTTATTTCTGAGAATATGGAATTGAAATATTTTGCTGAAATGACGTACGCATTACAGTGGAAAGTGACGAAAGCAATGACTCGCTTTCTTTCGCTCAAAAGATGTTACCGTAATCGCTTTTCGATGGTTTTCAGTTAAAACACTGTTGTATTACAATAATATTCTATCCTAATTCACTTGTGATGCAACAGTTTTTTAACTGAAAACCATTCGAAAAGCGATTACGGTAACATCTTTTGAACGAAAAAAAGCGAAAGTCATTGTTTTCGTCACGATTTTGTCCCACATTCCACTGTAATACTTACGTCATTTCAGCAAAAATATTTCATTTCTGTGAATGTAGTATATCAAGCACAGTATGAATATAATATCATTGTAATATAACAGTATTTTAACCGAAAACTATTAAAAAAACGAGTAACATCTCTTGAACATTGGAAGGTTAGGTGAAGTCTTTTGTTTTCGTCATGTATTTTATCCTATTTTACATTGAAATGCAACAAGTTTCAGCAAAATTACTATTTATTTCCAAGAATATATTCATTCAGGCGCAGTTTAGATAAAATATACGTGTGATGTAACATTTTTTTAATTGAAAACGATTCGAAAAACACGTACCCTCTAGCCCTGTTCAAGGAGAGGACTGGGAGAAGCTGTTTGGTGCTGCAGACGATGGCAAGGAAAATGATTTGGATGGATTTTAATGAAAATATTCAGAAATGTGGTATCGTAGTATTTATTCAAGTCAATTAGGATAGAATATTATTGTAATACAACAGTAGTGACGATGTGGAGGAGGCGGAGGGATAGAGCGGGGACGAGTGGAGATGCCAGCCAGTACATTACGGGTGTATTAATTGTTTTTATAGCTATTTTTGCATTTTAATGTTAAATACTGTACATTACGTTTCAACAAAACTACCATTTATTTCTGAGAACATGGAAATGTAATATTTTTGCTGAAATGATGTATGTATTACAGTGAAAAGTGACGAAAGCAATGACTTTCGCTTTCTTTCGTTCAAAAGATGTTACCGTAATCGCTTTTTGAATGGTTTTCAGTTGTTGGATTATAAGGCTAATGATAGGATAGAATATTATTGTAGTACAGTACGAGTACAGCAGTTTTTAACTGAAAACCATTCGAAAAGCAATTACGGTAAAATATTTTGAACAACGAAAGAAAGCAAAAGTCTTTCATCATGATTTTACCCCACTTCCCACTATAATATGTACGTCATTCCAGCAAAAATATTTCATTTCCATATTTATTTCCGAGAATATATTCATTCAGTCACAGTTAAGGTAAAATATACTTGTGATGTAATATTTTAATGAAAATCCAGTATCGTAGTTTTCTCGTTTCAAATTTAATTAACAAAGATTGATGTTTCAAATGTAATGAACAAAAATTTATGTCCAGTATCTATAAATTAACTTTAATAAAAGAATACTTTGTTTTACATCGTCCTGTGCTACCAACCATGGATTTGGCTACTTTGGGCTCGCAAGAGATCTGCCCTGGCAACTGTACCGACACTCACAGTGGGTGGTGTGTTGGTGCATCGTTTCCATTGTTTACTGGTAGTTACTGGTAAATATTTTTCAACCTAACGAAACTATTACCCGTTTAGAGGTCGACCCCCAATTTTTGCCAAATAATTTGGTCTTAAAAACTCGAACTACACACAGGTAAATACGGTAAATAAGGACATGGGGGACCAGGGATTTTTTAGGGGGGGCCAGCAATAGTACATGGATTTTTAACATTCACGGGTATCTCTGTTACCTAACCCCCGCGAATGTTAAGGGCCGACTGTACTATTAAACTTGTTTCTTCTGTAATCAATATTTAAATCTGATGATAACCTCCAAGTGAATAGGGGTCCCACAGGTCAGAGGGTCTGTTCTGTACAGCGGGGATACAACACCATGACTAACCTCTACATTACTGGGACGTCACTCTTAATATTTTATCTAGCTAATGCCACACGGTGTTATTCAGCTCAGAGGCGACCCCATACACAAAGGGTTATAAGTTAATGGTAATATAACAATAAAAAATTAAGAAGATGTAAATGTTCCTCTTAATCTAGCATGGCTTCAGATTACTTACCAAGATAAAAGCAATAAAATAAATAATGTAGAATGATTGTTACACTGATACCAAAGTGGTAACATAAAAAAAAAAATTTTTTTCACAAACTCAACTTCATCACATATACAGTACCAGGGTACTGATAACATGACATACAGAATTCTAGTCTCAATTTCACTCTTGTCCTCATCAAAACAAACTCACAAGTGGGCGCTTGAGGCCCTCGCAGGCTCTATGGGGCTCCCAAGCAATGTAATGTATATTTAATTTATTTTTACCATGTTAAAAAATCCCTAAATGGTAAATACAGTAAACCCTCGAAGATCCGGACTCGGGAAATCTGGATTTCAGAAGATCCGGACAAAAGATTTGGGGGTTCTAGGCTAAGAAGCCTCCTAGAAGCTTCCCTAAGAAACATTCCCAAACCAGAGCAAATTTAGGCCCATGGGCGCTGCTTGACCCTTCAGTTGCTTGGACACAGGTGCCCGAGGAGGTGGGAAACATAAACAGAGTTGACAATTGTTGTTTGTGGTAATATTATTTCATTCACTCTAGTAATGATACAATGTTTCTTATTTTGTTATCATAGGTAAATGCATGGTTTATATACGCTAATTTGTTTATCACTACATTAGTACAGTTGTACCCCGCTTAACGCGGTCAATTGAACCCACAGGGTACCGCGTTAAGTGAACAACAGAACATATGGGATCAATTCCAATAGAGACTGGCCCGACCCCCAAACTCCACTTTTTGACGACACACAACTATGTTGTAGTAAAAATATTGTCTTAACTTTATGATGGTATGCACACACAATTAATAATTAAGAGAAATATCAATAATATTAGGTTTTTTAACACTTACATTAGTAGAAAAGATGGCTGGGCACACGGGGATGGGGGGTTGGTTCCGAGGCAGAGGGCAGATTATTGGCCCTCACCTGTATCACTTGTGTCAATTGTATCACTATCCACCACAGAGGCTTGCAGGGCCTCTTTGTCAAACCCCTCAAAGTCCATATAAGTCCATATCCTCACAATAATTATCACTATCACTGACTTGGGCTGGCTGTGGTGGGTGGCGGGTGAAGAACTCGGTAATGTTTTGATGACTGGGCGACCTTGTGCGCATCGTGCCCGCGCCGCTTCCCGCGTATATGAGTAGATGAACCGCGTTAAGTGAAAGTTCGGTTCTGGCGAGGCACCGCGTATATGAGAAATCGCGTTAAGTGAAACCGAGTTAAGCGGGGTACAACTGTACTGTATTTTTGGTGTTTCTCATATAATTTATTATTTGCAGGAAAATTCGGACAATCTGCTTTTTCAGACAGGTGGTCCCCCTTTTTAGTCCGGATCTTCGAGGGTTCACTGTACAGTGTAAGACTTGCTATAAAATAATGTAAACCTCATAAAACTTGTTGTCAACTACCATATTCAGTATTTACCTTATAAAACTTGTTCACATTAAAGGTTTCTCCCATATGTAGAATCTCCAGTTCAATCTGGGCCTCCTTCAAGTCTTGGGCCTTCTTCCTGGCTTGTCTCTGCTTCTGGCTATCACCTGAGTGGGGGTCATCTCGGCACGTGAACAACAGGATATTCTGCTCTGACAGTCGGCCCGTCCTGCAAAAATTACAAATTAGAGAGTATTTCTTATGGTAGTTTTAATGTAATATGTAGGTAAAAGTCCTTCACATTTATAAAAGAAAAAGAACAAATTTAGGAGTATTTATGGATTCCCCATTTTATGCTATACGGTATAAATTAGCCAACACTATACCCCCATACAGTATACAAATACAGGTACACTAGTATATGATACATACCATTTATCCAAGACACTTTGGCAGACCCTCAGAGCATCTTGCAGACTGGCATCAGTACTGTGGCCATAAGTTGTGTCAAACAAGTTCTCAGGCACTGGGGTAAAGAACATAAGTTACAAGTCATCGTCATTACTGTACAATCTCCAAAGAAATTCCTGTCGCCTCTCCTCCTGAACCATGAACCCTGAGATTCAGACTTATGAATCCAAAGCATATATGGACAGAATAATGCATCAGTGTTTACTGCTTCGGGTACACGAGTCTGAATTTTGGGACTTTAATTTGTTCAGGACTGTACAGTATGTCATTTGCAAGCTATCAACAATAGTTATACAGGGGAGTACTCAAATTTCAGTTCTTTAAACTTTGTCCTACTGATCTTAACACATTTATTCTCAACATACAGATTCATCTTCAGAGGGAAATTTGTGGAGTTTATGTACACAACCAGAGGTGAGATGAAAGAAGGGACAGACTTCGGGTCTCTACCAATCATATGTAAAATATACAAGATAGTGAATGTAGATGAGTTAAGTGGGTGCCTGGTGTGGTGTGAAGGTGGAGCAGGTATTGGTGGAACATTCTTATCAGGATTGAGGGTTAAGTTGCTGTAGCAGTTATGGGATCAGGATGGATAATGGTCAGATTAGAAATTTTTTTGTTAGTAAGTTCAGGATGAAAGGATTGTGTTTTAAACTGAGAGGGTATTTTTATTTTCCTCTTCAACAGAATCTTAAACATGGTGCCCAAAGACATGTCTTGTATGATACCAGGACTTCACAGAGTGGTGTGTGTACTGTACGGTGCTCACTGATGGCTCAGCCTCTTAAGTCGTACATGGGATCCAGTTTAAGGGATAATCCAGATCCAGGACTGGTTAGAAGGGGCATTAATATTCAACATATCAAGAAAGTTTTCTACACACATGAACATACAACTTAACATGTAGTACACCACACGGCACTTACTTGCTAGTAGTTCCTCTAATGCGAGGACTCTCTCTGCATCTGGACACTCTAAATCCTGTAATGTATACACGTGGGAGAAGTCAATGTGGTTCTTGGTCTCCCTAGTGTTGAAGAGCACTAAAGCAGACAGATCCTGGTCGTTGGAGAACACTTTCCTCATCATGGTCGAGTGCGCTGCCTGAGGGGATATAGTTCACTTGTTAAATAATACAATAGCTTCTTGGTCAAACAACAGGAAAATAAGAACTGCCACCAAACATAGAAGTAAACAAAGGAATGTACACTGTTCTACTCCCTGCTCAGGTTGGATCTATACTTGGTCATATGATTAGTGAAAAATAAACAATTACTAAACAATAAAGTTTCAATTTTTATCAACACAAATTAATATCTCAAATATATCAGTTTAAATGATCTTGGTGTGTTTGTCTCTTTTCCCTAGAGTGCCTCCTAAGTGTATGTGTGTGGTACAGGTAGGGGATTATGTATACAGTTTATCTGAACGTGCTAGATGGGTGGGTGGGTGGGTGGGTGTGTGTGTGTGTGTGTGTGTGTGTGTGTGTGTGCACAACAAAATAGAGAAAAAAATTAATACTCACTCTAACTGCTTGATAAAATGGTGGTTCCTCCCCATCTTCCTCTTTACCAGGGTTGACAAACATCTCTTTGGCAGTGTCAATGAGGAAGACAGAAGCCGAGCGACCTCTGTAAGCCCATGAACCAATCTCTCCCTCCGCCTCATCACCATCACCATCTACATCGAAACTACTGCCAAAATGCTCACCGGACATCATCTCTTAAAAAAAATGAATAAATAAAATAAAAATAAATGAATAGCAATATAATAAATAAATAAAATAAAGGATAAAACTGTAAGAATCACTCACTGAAATATATTCAGTGTATAGATCTATAAATTCTTACCTATCCTGAACTGATGATCTTTATTACAGATTGACAATCCCTTATCCAAAATCCTCGGGACCAGATGCATTTCGGTTTTCAGATTTTTTTTTTTTTTTTATACAGGGATCAGCCCACCCGGGCACAGGTCACCGACCCACATTGGGACCTGGGGGCTAAAATATAATAATAATTATAATAATAATAATAATAATAATAATAATAATAATAATAATAATAATAATAATAATAATAATAATAATATTCATAGGTCTAGGTCGTGTTTCTCAATTTTGATCTTTTTTTCATTCTTGTATTTCTTTATTATTATTATTATTATTATTATTATTTTATTATTACAGTATTATTGTTATTATTATTATTGTTATCATTCTTATTTTATTTTTGAGTATTTTTTTATTAAAATTTTTATTTACTATGAATAATTATTATTTTTACTGTAGTATCATTATTTTTATTATTATAATTATTATTACTATTACATTTTCACCCCCCAGGCCCCGATGTGGGTCAGTAGCCTGTGCCCGGGTGGGCTATATAAAAAAAAAAAAAAAAAAAAATGCTCCACAAAAACTTTCGGTTTTTGGAATTTCGGATAGAGGGTTGTCACCTGTACTCAGCTCTGTAGGGGTTAAGGTGACAATACTAATTAATCTATATATACCTGTAGTACCTGTACAAGGTGATTCAAAATGAATATATACAAAAAGGAACGTTTAATCCTGTAACTGAATTCTTATATGAGATGATAAAAAAAAATAATTAACAGTTAAACCTTTATTTAACGGACTGCAGTATATAGAGATGAAAGTCCATTATATCGAGGGTCCGTTAGATGTGAAACCTCCATCTATAGGTAGTAGGTAGAAGGCAGCTACCAAACAGGGAGGTACTACTGCCTGGGAAGATATTGGAAGCATAATGTGTTGTCTAATGGTAGACCCTGCTGCCATATGGCATCACAAAAATTGTGACCAAGTTCCAGGTTGATGATCTGACTTTCTGCCTTATTTACACACAATTGCAGGGTCTCAATTGTTTCTCATACTATTGAAAACACAACATACTGTACATACCCCGTATATCATTTCTCACTATTGATATATTTTTTTAATTTTTACATTTATCTATGACTCTTTATTATTATTATTAATATTATTAAATTTGATTAATTTTATTTATTATTTTATTATATTTTTGCCACCCAGGCCTTGATGTGGGTCATAAAATGACCTGTGCCTGGGTGGGTTAATACCAGAAAAAAAAAACCTTCATAGAGGTGAAAGTCCATTATATCGAGGGTCCGTTAGATGTGAAACCTCCATCTAAGTTCTTTTTGTTGTGTTTTTAATTCCACATTTTCCCTCCTCTTCAAAGGTCTGCCCACCTTTGGTTGGGTCAAGACTGTCAGGGTAGAAGGCATCATAACTCAATCATTATGATTTTCCTCAAACTTCCATTATCATTAATGTATTCAGCGCAAAAACTGTATTAAAAATTATGTTGTTTTGCTTAATTAATTTGCTGGTGTTTGTAGAATAATTACTGTACCAGGTGAAATTGTCAATCATTAATATGGGAAACATCTAAGTGGCAGGTAATAGTATATAAACAATGTAAATAAAAAGTATATAGGCGGTCACCGAGTTACAACCGTCCGACTTACAATCATCCGCACTTATGAATGGGATCACAATACATTCATCGCAAAAATTTGTAATTAAAATCCAATTATTTACATTATTTTCATTATTCTATATTGTTTAACATCATTTTATTTACAGTAGTTGTTATGTATGGGATATTATTGTTGTTTTGTAATGGCAGAGTTGTGCTATAACCTAACCTATGGAATTAAAACTGTTCTCACTTACAATCAGGGTCCAGGAACGTACCCTTGTCGTATAAACATAAATAATGTACAGAGACAGTTGAAGATTAAGGAGGTCAGACACTGTCAGCACGTACCATGTACGGTAATATAAAATAATACTAGAGATAATTCAGTTATGCATGAGAACACCACTACCACCAGAAGGAGTTGTTCAATTTCATTCATTTTTTTCACAGATGTTCTTACCATTATTGTAAGTATTTTAAAAGAGGCAACATTTACTAGAACCTTACAGAACCTGTCCTAACCGTCCAAAGAAACCTACCAAATCTTACCTAACTTCCTAGATGGGGGGGCAGACCCCCGCCATATTAAACAGAAAGTACTTACAGGTATTTTGATATCTGGTACCAATGAAAGCAATGTTGTTGAAGCATCATGGTTTAATTTCATGTTTTTTGTGGATGTGAGAGTATGCTCGGACAGAGCATAAATAGTCCTCCAAAAAATCTGCGGTAGTCACCGTGCATTGTTTGTTTACAACCAACCCACTTGGTCCAAGCGTACTCTCTTGTCCACAAAAAAAGTAAAATTACACCATGCCACTTCACCAAATTTGGTTTCATTGGTACCAGATATCAAAATAAGTATACTGTACTTTGTTTAAATTGGCAGGGGGTCCAGGGGGCAAAGCCTCCTCCAGCTAGGAAGTTAAGTAGCTTTCTTTGGTTGTTAGGACAGGTTCTATTAGGTTCTAGTAAATGTGAGGTTACATATTTAGTAGTTGCCAACACCTACATATATATTGAGTCTTATATAAAGAGGAAAGATAAATTAATTTTTTTCTAAAGCATTTCTGTTGGAAATTTATATTTTTAGAATTATTTAAGCAAAAAAATTTCCAGCAAAATTATTTGTTGAAAGTGGACAGGGCTGTGCAGTTGGCGAGTTGTCCGGTCTTCTCGGACTATTCCTTGACAATGGTTCACTCAGCTCCGTTAACTCAGGTTGTGGTTGTTGTGTTGATGACAGCTTCTACACCTTAAACAAATCCACACCTAGGTGGCCCTAGGGCTGGCCATCCTCGTTATAATTAGTATTTTACCCCACATTTCCCTCTACTTCTCAGCCCTGTCCAGTTTAAGCAACACCTGCAGAAAAAATTAAAGAAACCCAAAAACTTCTTCAGGTGGTAGCGGTGCTCTCAGAAATGACCATACAAACACCTTGACTGTGTTTACGGGTGTGTGTCTAGTTAAATGTATAATACGTACATATGAACCAATGTGTTTACAGAGTATGATTCACACTTCTCTTTATCCCAGTTACCAGAACAAATTGAAATTGAAAACAAGCTCAACGAAGCCTTATTATTTCAGTTAGGTTAAGTTCGGTCAATTAAAAAACACCAAAATACACAAGAAAAATAATGTCTCATACTATTTGGGGAAACTTGGATAAAATTGAGTTATAATTCATTTCGATAATTATTTGGATCGTGACCGCCCGCTGTTTTTAATTGAAAATAGGTTAAAAAACACCAAGTTTTCACTGATTTTATTAGAGGTAACTGTATTATGTTGGGTAAAAATATAAAAATAAATGAAATCATGTGCTAACCTAACCTAACCTATATCTCAAAAACTAAGCATTTACACAAAACATGAATAGAACAAAAAGTAATCAGCGTACAAAACTACGTCTAAAGACATCCCCATTATTACCGAACCACTGATGGCCATGAGTCATATATTTGCCTTCATTTTTATCCCAATCGGTATTTCCCATTTTTTACAATTATCACCAGGATTCAAATTTTTACCGTACGTAGCAATAACAAGTTAGGTTAGGTAGCCCCCCTTCCCCGGATAGGTATATGGCAATAGGGTAGGTTAGATAGCGCCCCCCCCCCGATGTCTACATGGCAATAGGTTAGCCTTTTTTAGTATGTTTAATCATTTTTCTGGTGTACTGTGGTGTGTGTGTTTTAAGTTGATTCTGAACGCCATTTCTTGTGACAAAGAGCAAATTTTTGGGGTGTTCTTCAATTCCTCATAAATAAAAAAGAATTAAATATAAATAATTACGCCTGCACTGCCGCTGAATTTTCATACGGAAGAAAACGAATTTAAAACGGCGGAATTTCACTGTTTTATTGTGGACACTGGAGGTGCTGGTGGTAGAGTGGTACCGCTCTTGCCTTCGCAAGCGAGATGTCACGGGTTTGATTCCCGGGCCGGTGGAAGTTGTTTGGACATACTTCCTAGTCCCCATTAGTCCCTGTTCACCTAGCAGTAAAGTAGGTACCTGGTGTAAGTCGAAAGTTGCAAATTCGTATTCAGGGACAAGTTGTTGGAGCTTCCAATAACTTGATGACATAAACCATTGACTCTTCAGGCTTCTATGCCCTTGACTCTTCAGGCTTCTACGCCCTTAACTCATGAGACATAAAAGGCAAGCATGAACTTAGCATGCTTCCCTGTTGGGACCTGTAAACGCTTCTGCACTTCACCTTACACAAGGATGTAGGGGAGTGCCCAATAAGTGATAAAAAAAAAATGTGGACACTCGTAGTTATGGCAAATATTTAAATATTTTAAAGTGTTTATTTCAAAGTTAAACCTAACCTAACCTTAATGTAACCTTAACGTGTAGTCGTCAATATTAATCAACTTAAAAACGGCTCATTTCCGCAAAAATACCAATGTTATAAGTAATTAAGAAACATCAACATACACTCGAAAAATATTTCATACCAAGTGGGGAAATCGAGATAAAAACAAATTGTAACCTAAACATGCATTTTTATCATTATTTATATCATTACTGTACCTGGAAGACAGCTTGGGGACACTGGCACGAATATGACAGTAATTGTATCCACAGAAACACTTAATACAGCAGGGAGCAGCTCCTCCTCCTGGGCCGCGGGACACAAGCACAGACACGCAGCCAAGGAATCAGGGTTGCCAACTCGGATTTTCAAATGTCGCTAGGCTGGTACCTAAAAGTAGCTAAATGTCGCTAAATCTTCCATGGAAAGTCGCTGGCTATTATTCACCCCCTTCAGTAATTTGATGCAAATAATATTTTCATAATGCCGACTATAATGGACGGAGTATAAATAAAATGCATTATGTAAAAATAAAAATATTACTTTTTTTAAAGTTTAATGTGCACACTTACCTATTATTCAATAGTAATTGCATCCCAGTCCTCTTCGTAGTGTGAACAACTGTAGAGCTGGAAGCATGTGAAGTGCTTGGTTCAGGTTCTCTTGTAACTGTATGCCTCCACAGTCCCTATCTTTCCTAAAATATCACTAGGAAGTTCATAACTTGCACAACAGGTGTTCTGTCTTTTTAACCCATACTTTATTGTAAGAATTGCCTTTAATGTCGATAGTTTCATTTTGTTGCGCAATTTTGATTTCACAAAGTTCATATTACTAAATGTGCGCTCTACATCTGCGTTTGAATGCGGAAGAGATAAGGCAGCGAGTGCAATTTCAGCCAGATTATGGTAAGGGTTTTCACCTGTCGCATCTCTGTAATTTGCCACTTCTGACCACAATTTTAGGGTGTTAGATGCATGGACGGGCTGACATCAAGTGATCAGGAAATAGACGTGTCCCTCCTTCTGTACCACGACCCGTTCAAATGTATTAAACTTTTCTTATTATTTATTGTCCCTGTAACCCCGTTGCTATATATTATGGCTCAAAATTAGGAAAACTGAGTTTTCATGGACAGTCCAAAAGTATCCAGAAAGTCGCTAGATTTCTGTGGATATCTCTAGATTTGCGGCAAGTCGCAAATCGCTCTAAAATGTCGCTAGAAAAAAACAAAAAGCTCTAGATCTAGCTACAAAGTCGCTAAGTTGGCAACTCTGCAAGGAATATCCAATGAGGAGGTTATACTGGAAGCGTTTATCAGGCCGCAGATAACATCCGATCACATTTAGAGGAAAGCAAATTAATCTACGACTCTGAACACGGGTTTACAAAGGGAAAATCTTGTCTAACAAATCTGCTGACGTTTTTTTAGGAAAGTCTTCGAGGTAGTAGATATTGACGATAATTACGATATTATTTACTTGGACTTTAGCAAAGCGTTTGACCGAGTACCATATCAGAGGCTTCTTAGAAAAATTAAGGCTCATGGTATCGAGGGGAAGAGCTGCAGAAGGATCACTGTGGGCTCCAAGAATGGTCAAAGAAATGGCTGCTGAGATTCAATGTCATGAAGTGTAAGAGGATGCACCTGGGGCATACGAACGGTAAGGAGGCGTATCATATGTCCCAACGGGATGAAGAAACTGCACTAGTTGAGACTGAATGTGAGAAGGACCTAGGTCTGTATGTTGACAATGAGCTGAAGTTCTCGGGCCATTGCGAGAAGAAGGTAAACCAGGCAAATAAATTATTGGGTCTTATAAGAAAGTCGTTCAGATATCTAGACGGTCCGTGAAGTGCTTCCCCATCTGGAGTACTGTCACCCTGTCTGGTCCCCGAGATATGCTAGGGACTGTCAGTTGGTTGAAAATGTTCAGAGGGCCACCAGACTGGTGCCTGCACTTCGGCACCTCAGCTACCCTGAGAGATTGGAGTGCCTGAACTTGCCTAGCTTATACTACAGACCGGCAAGGGGGGACCTAGTTGAGGTGTATAAGCATCTCAGGGGGCACTACTCAATCCAGTGTCCTTACTTGGAGCTGGCGGACGCTCGCCCCACAAGGGGTCACAGCTCAAGATTGAAGAAGCCGCAAGTCCAGAAAACTGTGAGGGCAAACTTTTTCGGAGTGAGGGTTGTAAATTCTTGGAACAATCTACCAGAGAGTGTTGTGACGGCACCGAGTGTGAGCTCTTTCAAGAGAAGACTTGACCAACACTGGAGCGGGTTCAGGTACATTCAGGAGCCGGTGCATGCTCAGTATTTACCAACAGTGCGTGACAGAGACGTGACCGATCGCCCAAGCGGCTAACGAGCCGATCAGTGGCGAAGAGGATAAAAGTAAAAGAAGCAACCTTGTAAAAGATTGCACCACTCAAGTCTGAATGCACCACTATCCTGGACTGAATGCACCACAATATTATAAGTAGGATATTTTGCCTACAAAAATGTATATCGGTATATAACTTATCACAATATTGGCACTTTAAGTAGAAAGAAGAAGAATTCATCATATTTTCCTGATTCTATGAAAAATATTTTCAAAATGTTATGCAAATACTCAGTGTTCACAAGAGAGGATGCAACTAACCTTCCTGCGTTTGAGGACAGACGGTTCGACACAGCACTGCCCCACATTGTGTTCACAGAAGAGGGCATTAGAAATAAACTGTCCAGGCTAAAGGTCCATAAGAGTCCCGGACCTGACATGGTGCATCCTAGAGTGCTAAGAGAGCTGTGCAACGAGCTTGCAGAGCCCCTGAAGCTCCTGTTTTGTAAATGCCTGGATGAACAAATGGTCCCCAGTGAATGGAAAGTGGCTTATGTGAGTCCTATCTTCAAGAAGGGCGATAGTCACTCCACGAACAATTATAGACCGGTGAGCCTGACCAGCATAATATGTAAAGTACTTGAGAGTATTATCAGAGATGCCGCGATGGAACATCTACTACGAAACAACCTTGTAAAAGATTGCCAACACGGTTTTATGCCGGGGCGCTCTTGCTTAACACAATTGCTCAAGGTATTGGATATTTGGACCCATATTCTGGAACGGGGTGGTAATATCGACAATATTTACCTAGATTTTGCCAAGGCTTTCGACAGTGTACCCCACGAAAGGCTGAAAATCAAACTGGAAGGGTACGGAATTCGGGGAAATGTCCTAGCGTGGATAGAAGACTTTCTACATGACCGCATGCAGTGTGTGGCGATTAATGGCACGAAATCGTCATCTGTACCTGTAACAAGTGGGGTACCACAGGGCAGTGTATTGGGCCCGCTGTTGTTTGTTTGTTTCATAAATGACATGCCTGACGTTGTACACTCCTCCATACAAATGTTTGCCGATGATGGCAAGTTATTTTTCGGGAAATTAAGAACCAAGCGGACTGTGAAGAGCTGCAGAAGGACCTCTGTGGGCTCCAGAAATGGTCGAAGAAATGGCTGCTGAGATTCAATGTCACGAAGTGTAAGAGGATGCACCTGGGGCGTACCAACGGTAAGGAGGCGTATCATATGTCCCAACGGGATGAAGAAACTGCACTAGTTGAGACTGTGTGTGAGAAGGTGTGTATGTTGACAATGAGCTGAAGTTCTCGGGCCATTGTGAGAAGAAGGTAAATCAGGCAAATAAATTATTGGGTCTTATAAGAAGGTCGTTCAGATATCTAGACGGTCCGTCCCTCGTGACGATCTTCAGGAGTGAAGTGCTTCCCCATCTGGAGTACTGTCACCCCATCTGGTCCCCGAGATATGCTAGGGATTGTCAGTTGGTTGAAAATGTTCAAAGGAGGGTCAGCAGACTGGTGCCTGCACTTCGGCACCTCAGCTACCCTGAGAGATTGGAGCGCCTGAACTTGCCTAGCTTATACTACAGACGGGCAAGGGGAGACCTAGTTGAGGTGTATAAGCATCTCAGGGGGCACTACCCAGTTGAGTGCCCTTACTTGGAGCTGGCGGACGCTCGCCCCACACGGGGTCACAGCTCAAGATTGAAGAAGCCGCAAGTCCAGAAAACCGTGAGGGCAAACTTTTTCGGAGTGAGGGTTGTAAATTCTTGGAACAATCTACCAGAGAGTGTTGTGACGGCACCGAGTGTGAGCTCTTTCAAGAGAAGACTTGACCAACACTGGAGCGGGTTCAGGTACATTCAGGAGCTGGTGCATGCTCAGTATTTACCAACAGTGCGTGACAGAGACGTAACCGATCGCCCGGGCGGCTAACGAGCCGATCAGTGGCGAAGAGGATAAAAGTAAAAGTAAAAGAGTAGTATTCACACAACTTCAGCGATCAGTTGCTGCACCGGACACAAGATTATAATATTATGAACATTGCTATTTGTTACGCTGTACAAATGCGCGATGACCTGCAAATTGTTTTAATAAAAACACATAAATCTAACGTAGTTTTATATTCTTATTTCGAAGGAAGGAAACCGGTGTTGCCATACGTACGATAAATATCCATCCCCCATCCCCCCTCCACCCCGGCCTTCGTTTATCCCGCTAGCCTGCAGGTATTACACGTACACGAACGTGGAGCAGTGTTTAACTGTTTATAAATCAAAGGTTTGTTTAGAAATTAGTGAGTGTAATGTTGCATGACCTCAATGGCATATATAAGTTTCTGGAAAGCAGGGGGGGAGGAGCAAGACATGGAGTTACTGACATTATTTGGTAATTTCTTATAATAGAAGTACTACCAGGCGTTCAAGGTCATTCATATTTTCCGTAAAATGATCGTTTCTGTTATTTAGTAGATTTTTCGGATTTTAAGTTTTTGGTGTCACTACTCACTAGTTTAGTTAGAAACTGTGATCATTCGAAGACACTGTATATTTTTACAAGTTACCCATAATGACCCACGATATTTTTGGGTTCAGTTCTGGGTATATCTCGTCCTTTCTAACAACTTCTTCCAGAACAGTTTCTGTCACAAATGATTTCGTTTGCGAGAAAATCGCATTAATTTGTGAGGGAATTATCAAATATTTACTATGTTCAGTGTTGATTTTACCTGTGTCCTCACCCCTCAGAGAACTCCTGTGTGTTTGCATGGTGTTACTAGTCTCAGCCAGTACCCGACTCCCCATCCCACTTTTATGTAGGAGAAATTGGCGACCCACTCCTGCTCACGCTTAATAAGGTAATGCTCATGTCAGATTATATTTACTGTATGTGGTACAGCAGAAAGGAAAATTATAATGCTGAGACTATAGCCTTTATTAAAAGCAGTACATTTAGGTAAAGGTTTACAAAACTGCTATCACCATAAGGAAATGTACAATGTGGTTTAATTTTTTTTACACTATTAGCATGTTATTATACACGGAAATGAAAACGACAATGCATAGAACCCATTAGAACCTGAACCTAACAAACCCAAGCTATTAGGTCATGTTCTAGTAGGTTCTATGCATTATTGTGTTCAATTATATGTTTAATATTATGCTAATAGTGTGTAAAAAAAAAGTAAACCAAACTGCATTTATTGAATATGGTAGATGTAAACCCAACCTGACTAACCCCCCTAACCCAACGAAATTAAGCAAAAGAACCAAGGAAACACTACCTAACGATTGTCACGAACGAAATTAATCCTAAACAAACAACTTACTTTAATATTGGGCTACTGATATATACGCAATTCTAAGCTTAATAGAGATATGTAATTATTTTATTAAAAGGATCAGGAGTAATGGAACACAATTTATACAGTTGGAAAGGAAGGAGCAATGTTGGCGGGAGGGGAATTAAGTGCAGCCGGACTGACTTATGATAAGAAAATAATTTGGGCGTTTGAAATGCACCTAGAGACATAATTTTAAGACCATAACATCAGTGTTCGCTGTGTGTTGACCCCTTAATTTCCCTCATCCTTCATGCCGTGCCCACTAACAAGGAATTTAAGATTGTAGGATAGTTAAAAATAAAAATCCTAAAAAATTACTTAAAATTATAATAGAAAGTTGTTGTTTCTTTTAATATACTTAAAATCACAAAAACAACAAGTATGTGTATAGGAAATATAAAGAAAATCAACAACTTCTAGTGATAGCTGTGTTGTAAACATTTACCAAATGTTATAATAAATGGATGATCAAGTGTATTTTAAAAGAAAATCATCAAAATTTTTCACAGATGAATATATTAATATGTACTATTTATGTATACTGTACTATACAGTATATGTAAATTGTAAAATAAAAAAAAAAAATAAAAAATAAGGTAAGGTAAGTAAGGTTAGGTTAGGTTAGAAAATAAGAATGGAGGAAACTGTAGCGGGTCTATTGGCCCATACTGGGCACTCCCATTTACACCCATCCCCTATCGCTTATACTGTATATCCATCCAACATATGTTTGAAGCTATCCAGCGTATTCGAGTTAAAGATGATGTTCAGTAACTTGTTCCATTCATCCACTACTCTATATCTAAACCTATGTTTACCTATCTTGCGCCTAAATCTTAATTTTTTTTAATTGAAAGCCATTGTTACGAGTTCACTCCTGGCTGGATAGTTTGAGTATCTTATGTTATATCACTTTTGTTTAGCCCTGATTTCCATTTATACACCTTTATCATATCGCCCCTCACTCTACGTCTCTCGAGGTAGTGCAAATTAAGATGCTCTAACCTGTCTCTGTACTCAATGTTCCTAATGCCTGGGATTAGGTTTGTCATTCTCCTCTGAATTCTCTCCAGGGATTCTATATCCATTCTGTAATACGGTGACCATAATTGAACTGTGTAATCCAAGTGAGGTCTCACAAGCGCAAGATATAGTTTTAGGATGACCTCTCTAGTCTTGTACCTAACACTTCTTTGTATAAACCCAAGTATAGCCTTGTTTTGAGCAAATACACATTGTTTACTTGGGTAAAGATTCCTACTTATCATTACTCCTAAATCTTTCTCACATTCGGATTTCTCTATAATCGTTGTTTATAATCGTTGTTCATCTGATATCTGGTTTCTCTGTTTACATCTCCTAGACTAAGTACTTTATATTTGTCCACATTGTATTTCATCTGCCATTTTTCAGACCAGTTGAAAAACTTGTTTAGATCTTCCTGTAGTTTTGCGTAGTCCTCTGTCGAAGGCTTTATTAAAGTCAAGATATACCACATCATAGTCGTACCCCTCGTCCACTGATTCGAACACAGCTGAAAAGAATGTTAAGATTGGTTAGACATGAATTCCCACTTGTGAAGCCATGTTGGGAATCATTGATCAACTTGTGCTTCTCCAGGTGATTTCGAATAGAGTTTTGAATTATTGCTTCCAGTAATTTGCCTACAATTTATGTTAAGCTGATTGGACGGTAGTTAGAAGATAGTGATCTTTCTCCCTTCTTGAAAATTGGTATTACATTTGCTATCCTCCAGGATTCTGGTACTACACCCATTTATAAGGACAGGTTAAACAAATTTGCTAAGGGCATACTAAGTTCTTCCTTACATTCCTTTAATAATCTGACAAATATTTCATCGGGAATTGGCGACTTATTAGACTTTAGCTTGTCTGTTTGCTTACTAATGTTGTTACTAATCACTACTATCTCGCTTTATCTATTTTCTTCACTATCTTTGTATACAGTGTAGTCGGTGCCTCGAGTATCATGTTTAAATTTTCGGTGGTGAAAACTGTTGAATATTATTTATTCAGATTATTGCTCATTTCTCTGTCATTGTCAGTTAGCTCGCCGGTATCTGACTGTATTGGTCCAATCTTTTCTCGTATTATAGTTTGATACATTTGAAAGAATCCCTTGGGGTTTGACTTTGCCTCCCTTGCTACCTTCAGTTCAATATTCCTCTTTGATTTTCTTATCTCCGTCTTAACCCTACTGGCCAATGCTTTATAATAATCTCGGAGGTAAACTTCACCACAATTTATTCTCCTACCTATAGACTTCCTTTGTCCAATAATATTCTTTAAATAATTATTAATCTATTTAGGGTCACTGTTGTCTGATCTGAATTTTCTGTATGATATGTTCTGCCTTTGTGCATTAAGTAACTCATTATTTAAATTGTTGTGGAACTCGTCAAGCTCAGATCTTATGATCAGGTCATCCTCAACTGTCATATTTTGTGAGCATAGTGTTGTCAGGTCTCCAGGTAAAGTGGGGTCGTCCTCTGTGGGTATATTGTGTGAGGTCACCTCACGTGAGGTCATGTAATCCATCCCCAAATATGATCCCCCTTCTTTCTGCTGCCTTTTCAACCTATCAAAGTTTGCCCTTCTTGAAATCTGGGACTTTAATGGAATTTTCCTTGCGACTGTCATTAAATTTTAATTAAATTCTTATTTCTTTGTGGTCGCTGTTGGCAAGTTCGTTCCCTTCCTCGACATTACTAACGAGGTTTTCGCTGTTTGACAACTAAATCGAGTATATTATTACCCCGGGTGGGTTCGGCTTTATGTTGACTTAGGAAACAGTCCTGAACTGTTTCAAGAAAATCATCAGATTCTGAGTTACATGTAAGGTCGATCCAATCTATTTGGCTAAAGTTAAAGTCGCCTGCTATACAGACATTGCTATGTCTGGAAGCCCTGCGCATTTCATCCCAAATAAGGCGCTCATTAACTCTATCAAGATTAGCAGGTCTATACAGGTACTTCTTGGCTTAGACCTACTAGACCAGTGGTTCTCAACCTTGTTTGGCCCATGCACCCCTTTCACCATATGTCAGAATGTCATTCCCCCCTCCTTTCCAAGATTGTCTGCCTCAAAAAGTGCATTCCAAATAATATGAATCTAATACAGGTTGTACCTCTCTAGTCCGGCAACCTCGGGACCTGACATGTGCCGGACCATGGAAATTGCCGGACCATGGAAATTCACCCTTTTCCTGGATAGATAGTGACTTGTGCTTAAGCCTGGAAGCACTAGCACCACTTTCTCTGCATCATGGTCTCTTTGAAGACATATTGAAGGGTTAAATGTCGTATAGTAGCTTCTCAAATTTCGCGAGTTTTTAATTCTTAACGTATTTTATTGGAACACACAAAAAAATAAATAAATAAAAATTTTGACGGCGGAAACTTGAATTTCGACGGGTTTGAACGGCCCGCCAACGTACAGACGACGTGCATAATCGTGTAAACAGCGTCATTTATCTTATGTACAAAAGATTCATTATTGTTTATTACTGAATGTCTTTTTCATTGAATTAATGTTTATGTGTGCAAAATGAGCAATACAATTCATTAATAATACGTAGAATATTAAAACACACGAGGAAATGACACAGCATTGTATTCGTTGATTACAAAACCAGTGACTGACTGGTTCTACATATAAAACTGAAGAAAATAAGACCTTGGTTGTAGCTGTAGTAAAATTAATATGGTTGTTTTAAGTAATGTTATTTAATGTTAATAAATGGAACAATAGAAGTAGCTAACGATAATGGTAAAGAAAAAAGAGAGATCGCATATGTAAGTGCGCATGCCACACGTGAAAACATATCATCATTACTTTACATAAGAATATGAAAGCAACACTTATTTACTGTTCATATATATTTTAATTAATGTTTCTGAATTTGTTTTTATTGAAT